TTTAACGAAAGGCTGGGATAGATGTTTTCTGAAATTAATGATTGGCTAATGGAGTTGGAGCGTTAGTTCATTTTAAGAACTAGAAGCATAATTGTATATTATAATTATAAGAATATAAATTATGAGAAAAAATAAATTTTTTATTTTAATATTTATTACAGTAGTCATTGTAATTATAGTACACCAAGTGACAATATGCCAGTTTGCTAGACAGGAATTTTAGGATGTCCTGTGTTACAGTAGGCTTTTAATTTTATTACTGGGTTTACCCCTTCAGTGAGGTATAATCAGTGTTCATTGATTTGAAGTTTTAAAATTTGAAAGACATGATGGTTTGGACATGGGCTTGGCCTAAATTTACCTTTGAGCTACAAGTGAAAATTAAGGTTTTACTAAACAAATGTAGGAAAAAAATGATTTTCTCCTTAACAGGAGCATATTCTATCCCTCTAGCACTGTTCTCAACATGCAGGTAATGTCAATAGAGTATAGACACTAGTCTGTGGTTTTTAGGTTGCTGTTCCACAACCTAAATCGTGCAGGTAGCACGATCTCGGCTCACTGCAACTTCTGCCTCCCTGGTTTGAGCGATTCTTGTGCCTCAGCCTCCTGAGTCACTGGAATCACAGGCATGTACCACCCTGCCTGGCTAATTTTTGTATTTTTAGTAGAGTCGGAGTTTTGTCATGTTGGCCAAGCCAGTTTCAAACTCCTGACCTCAAGTGATCGGCCCACCTCAACCTCCCAAAGTTCTGGGATTATAGACGTGAGCCACTGCACCTGGCCTAGGTTGCTGTTTCAATATAGTTAAATCATCTGTTCATTAAAGCATGACCTTCATGTTTTATAATTGTTTCAGTGACACTGGTAAACATACAGTTCTTTATTTTTTTATTTTTTATTTTTTTAAATAGAGATGAGGTCTCACTATGTTTCTCAGGCTGGTCTCCAACTTCTGGGCTTAAGCAGTCCTCCTGTCTTGGCCTCCCAAAGTGCTGCGATTACAGGCATAAGCCACCGTGCCAGTCCAGTTCTTTAAATACACAGTATTATGTGGCCATCTGTGTTTGATAATCAGTGAATAAAAAGTTGTCAGAACATCATAAGTAAAATATAGTTAGAATAATTCTTTTAAAAAATAGAGTAAAAGTAAATATTTCTCATTAGTTTCCCATTTTCTTACCCCATTATGGCATAAACAGAACAAAGTGGTCAGCAGAGGGTGTGTCAAAAAGGTTAGCAGAATATTTTAGATTTTGTTTCTATTGTCATTTAGCTTTAAAGTGAATTATTGTAGGACAGCATCTGAAAATATTTTTGGTATGATACTGATTTTTATCTTTGATATGTCAGAATAGTTGAAGAAAAATTAAGTGTGTTGCAAAGACTTTATTTTGACTAATTTAAATTTAGGGAGGATTTACAGAAAAACTGGAATACAGATATATTTCTTCCCATTCTTGTTCACTGAAGGGAATCATCAGTAAATCGGAGGTTCTTTTTAAATACCCAAGTTCGGCCAGGCACGGTGGCTCATGCCTGGAAACCCAGCACTTTGGGAGGCCGAGGTGGGTGGATCCCCTGAGTTCGGGAGTTTGAGACTAGCCTGGCCAACATGGCGAAACCCTGTCTCTACTAAAAATACAAAAAAGTTAGCCAGGAGTGGTGGTGTGCGCCTGAAGTCCCAGCCACTTGGGAGGCTGAGGCAGGAGAATCACTTAAACTCGGGTGGCAGAGGTTGCAGTGAACCGAGATTGTGCCACTGCGCTCTAGCCTGGGCAATAGAGCGAGACTCTGTCTCAAAAATAATAATAATAATAATAATAATAATAAGTAAGTAATGTCTAAGTTTATAAGCTTGTAGCCTCAATCTTTGTGTCTGTTCACTGTCACAGGATGTTTAGTTGATCATGATCTGTTACTTTAGTATAGTTGCTCTTATTTTTATGTTTACTTGGTTTAGCCAAAAGATTATCTTTTCACAAAGTGCTAAAAACTTAAGAACTGAAATGATGTATATACAACCTGAATTTCCTAAAGCAAGAGGTTTTGATTATATTTTGGTGAAACAAAAATAATTTTTAATAAAATTTCTAAACCTTACAGCTAAACTGTGAGGACCAATCTGTTTTCACTTTGATATAGGAGCAACTGAAAATGAAAGATCAGTCATTGAGAAAACTACAACAGGAAATGGACAGTTTGACATTTCGAAATCTGCAGCTTGCCAAGAGGGTAGAACTACTTCAAGATGAACTAGCTCTAAGTGAACCACGAGGCAAGAAAAACAAGGTAGGTTCAAATACAGGCAAGTTAGTGTGACCTTGTCATTAGTAACTGACACCTACAGGGCATCCTGGTTTTAACAGAAGACCCCACTGCTGAATTATTTGTTTGTTTGTTTGTTTGAGATAGGATCTTGCTCTACCACCCAGGCTGGAGTGCTGTGGTATGATCTTGGCTCGCTGCAACCTCTGCTCCCAGGCTCAGTGATCCTCCCATCTCCGCTCCCAGAGTGGCTGGGACTGTAGGTGTGCACAACCATGACCGGCTAATTTTTGTAATAGAGATGGGGTCTCACTATGTTGCCCAGGCTGGCCTTGAACTTCTGGACTCAAGCAATCCACCTGCCTTGGCCTCCCAAAGTGCTAGGATTACAGGCGTGAGTCATCATGCCTGGCCCTGAATTTTTTTTTTTTTTTTTTTTTGAGACAGAGTTTCACTCTTGTTGCCCAGGCTGGAGTGCGATGGTACGATCTTAGCTCACCACAGTCTCCGCCTCCTGGGTTCAAGTGATTCTCCTGCCTCAACCTCCCAAGTAGCTGGGATTACAGGCATGTGCCACTCCCAGCTAATTTTGTATTTTTAGTATAGACAGAGTTTCTCCATGTTGGTCAGTCTGGTCTCGAACTCCCGACCTCAGGTGATCTGCCCGCCTTGGCCTCCCAAAGTACTGGGATTACAGGCATGAGCCACCATGCCGGGCCCTAGCCCTGAATTTTTAATGTTCCATTATTACGCCTGGATATTAGGTTGAGAAAGCAGACATTTATTATTAATATATATTAAATGTTAGAAACATTTTTATATGATAGTCAATTTTAAATAATTTATTAGGAGCAAATATACATAGTTGGTTAGTGACCGAGAAGAGACAATGGAATATCTTACATTGCTAAAATTGTTGACGTCTTTTGGTTTTACCAGGTTGCCATTAATCCAAGGTTGAGCAAATAAAATGAGGGAGATTGTCAGTGTTACTACTCTTATGAAAGTAGCAGTTGAAACACTCATACCTTAGGTTTGTAAGTTTACTGCAGATGTAATTTCTTAGCATTTATTCTTATGAGGCCAGTTTGGTGTTCTCGTCTTGAGATTTAGAGATGAGTTTTTTTCCCTTACGGTTTTATATGGTGAGGCAAGATTGTTATTGCTCTAAGGTGGATAATCTGGTACTTTTGAACGCTGTGATTAAGAGGTTGCTGCTTTTTTTTTTTTTTTTTTAGGGGTAGAGGTAGTGATTGAGTCTTTAAGTCTTGTATGTATATAGACTAACACTCCACAAATGTATGTATTGAGGCAGTAACAGTAGAATGGGTAGAAGGGAAGGAGAAGGCGCACAGTGACTCTGAAGGAGTGCAGTATGGCCAGAAGAGCACAGGCTTCAGATTGAAGCCCAGGCTTGAATTCTTTGGTTGCCTTTAATAAATCTATGATTTTCGGCACAATTTTTAACCTTGTAATCTTAGTTTCTCCATCAGCAAAGTGACAATGAGCCTTTGAGGTTTGTTGTGAGGATTCTATGGGATCATGTAAAAGTGCCTAGAGCCATATTTCCCATGTAATGAGCAGTTGTCATAGTTATATGTTAATAGTTTTCCTATATACATTTTCCTACATAGAATAATTCGCTAGAGTGTTAGTGTTCAAATAAAGGAGGCAACAGGGAGGGTATAACACATATGTGTTAGAATCACTCAGGAAACTTTTTCAAGATATACGTGCCAGGCCGGGCACGGTGGCTCACGCCTGTAATCCCAGCACTTTGGGAAGCTGAGGCGGGCGGATCACGAGGTCAGAAGTTCGAGACCAGCCTGGCCAGCATGGTGAAACACTGTCTCTACTGAAAATACAAAAAATTAGCCCGGCATGGTGGTGGCGCGGCTATAATCCCAGCTACTCAGGAGGCTGAGGTGGGAGAATTGCTTGAATCCAGGAGGCGGAGGTTGCAGTGAGCCAAGATCATACCATTGCACTCCAGCCTGGGCAACAGAGCAAGACTCCATCTCAAGAGAAAAAAAAAAAGATGTACATGCCCTGGAAATTCTGAAAGACCCTTGGGGAGACAATAGTTATTTGTACTTCAAACATGTTCTTCAGATTCTTAATATCCCTGCCTAGGACTGTTGAGCAGAGGTTTGGGTGTGATACTTGAGAATTAATTTTAATTAAAGCTCATCAAATTTGGAAGCACTGAGGACCCCGAATATGTCATTCTGCAGTGTTCCTTATGCACTTGTTGTTTTTCAAACATGATGGATATTTAATTTCTTTTTATATGGCTACTCCATTTTCAAAGGGCTTTTAAATCACTGATTCAAATTAGATTAGTAGGTGACTTCATTTTAAGTGAGAAGTGAGACTACAAAAAAAGCAGAGAAAGGGTGGTGACTGATGTTTGAACACAGTTTCATTGTTAGGCTGTTCCTTGAATAGTCTCAGTTCTATGTATTACATGAAAACAAATGCTTATTATTAGATCTTTTAAATAGTGCTATTCTTTTATGTAGAATGAGTTCATATTAGTAAAAAATTAAAAGAAAGGGATTTTTAAATAATCTTTGAGAATTTTCCTATTCATTTATAATAGCTTTATTTTATATTTTTTTAACTTAGAAGTTTGTATGAACTTTTGTATAAACTTACCTTTGTGGATGCTGTTACAAAATTTATTACAATTTCTTATGGAGTTTAGCAACTCCGACTCATGAAATTGCTGTAATTCTGATTTCCCAAACCAAAAGATCAAATTGAAATTATATTTATGAGCTTATTTTATATTGCTGGAGCTTTCTAGGTCTGCTCCGTCCTCCAACAGAACTACTCATGAATTCATCTGCAAACAATAGTAAGCCTTATCTGTTCTTTTCTCTCTCTTTTTAAAGCTTTCCTGCTCATTACAATATTTGCAGTTTCAACTTGTGTCACATAGGAAAAGTTAAATGATGAACTGTATACCTTTTGCAGGATTGTTTGAGAATGGTGAACACGTAGAAGAGACAAGCTTCTAAGGTGATAGAGAATCTGTGTACCTTAGGATGTTTCTCTAAAGGATGAAAGTTATGTGGACATAACTTATTCTTTCCATCAGAAAAGTGGAGAATCTTCTTCTCAGTTGAGTCAAGAACAGAAGACTGTCTTTGATGAAGATCTGCAGAAGAAGATCGAAGAGAATGAACGGTTGCATATACAAGTGAGAAAATCTGGTTTTCCATATGAATTAAAAAATAGGTCTGTGATCTGTTAATGTGGAAAAGCGAATGCAGCTGGAGTGTTTCGTGTCTGCGTGGGTGTTTTAATGTCTTCTGTGATCTTCAAGTATGTATGTCAGTGTCACTTATTCATTTCTTAAATATCACACAATCTTAATGTGGATGTGTGCTTTGAAGTATATTCATTTGTTCAGAAGACAGCAGAATGGCTTTATAATTTAACAGTGCAAAAGTATACTGAGCATTATTCATTTTATATAGGAAGTCATTACATGTATCATTTAAATGGGAACTTACCAATAAGTGGTGTTTGCTTTTTTCCATCCCCGCCCCCCCCTTTTTTTTTTTAACTGATGTTTAGGTCTTTAATTTACTGGTGTTTAGTTGGTTTTTATCCCTACTCCTGTTAAACTGTAAGGTCTCTGAGGGTATGAACCATGTACGTTCTCTGTGTCCAATCCCTGGACAGTGTCTTACTTATGTCAGGTGCTCAGATATTTATGGAATGTTGGAAAGTTAGTGCCTGCCCCCAAACCATTGAGCATATTCTAAGATTCATAGTGGGCCGGGCGCAGTGACTTACGCCTGTAATCCCAGCACTTTGGGAGGCCAAGGCGGGCGGATCATGATGTCAGGAGATCGAGACCATCCTGGCTAACATGGTGAAACCCCGTATCTACTAAAAATACAAAAAATTAGCTGGGTGTGGTGGCAGGCGCCTGTAGTCCCAGCTACTTGGGAGGCTGAGGCAGGAAAATGGCGTGAACCCGGGAGGCAGAGCTTGCAGTGAGCCGAGATTGAGCCACAGCACTCCAGCCTGGGCAGCAGGGTGAGGCTCTGTGTCAAAAAAAAAAGGTGTAGTGGATCCAACTATAACCTCCTGATTTTTTTTTTTTTTTTTTTTTGTCAAATGGTAGGAAACACACTTTTCAGTCTTTAAATGTTAATAAAGTTTTTGACCTCAGTGTATTTTATATCTAAGTATTCATAATTCCTTATTAGTGTTGGACTCTAATTACAGGAAAGAGCTTTACCTGTTTTAGGAATAACACCTGTTTTAATTTTGATTATTTTATGTGAAAGTTAGCTTAGTAGAAAAGTTATACTCTGATCAATTGAATTCTATGTATGCCAGACATTGTTTAAAATAGAAATTCATGAGACTAAGAGGTAGGAGGTGCAGGCTTTAGAGTAGGTTTCCTGTGTTCACATCTAAGTTCTACTATATTTTAGCTGTGAGACATTAGACTAGTTATGTAACTCGTTTAAGCTTGAGTTTCCATATCTGTAAAGAGGAATAACAGTAGCTACTTCTGATATACTGTGAGGATTTAATGAGATAATGCCTGTGTGGGTTTAACATAGTCAGTGTATGGAACCATATGGAAGTTGCTCAGTGAATAGTCACTGCTGTTATTTTTCTCATTTATGTATATTAGGATATTGTGAGAAGAGAAAATGGTCTTCTCTTTTTAGTTTTTTGAAGCTGATGAGCAGCACAAGCATGTGGAAGCAGAGCTGAGGAGTCGGCTGGCCACTCTGGAGACAGAAGCAGCCCAGCACCAAGCTGTGGTTGACGGTCTCACCCGGAAGTACATGGAAACCATTGAGAAGCTGCAGAATGACAAGGCTAAACTAGAAGTAAGCCCCATTGTGAGAGCACACTAAAAAATAATTATGACTTTTATATTAATAAATTGTCTGTGCACTTAGAGTTAGTCATTTCTGGTGAGACTATTGCCTGCAAGGTCTTACTAAGTGTGTTCCTATCTGTAGCCTGAGCCATCTACTTTTCTTTTTCTTCTGAAATTCAGGTAAAATCTCAGACTCTAGAAAAGGAAGCCAAGGAATGTCGACTTCGAACGGAAGAATGGTATGTGGAAACTTGAATTCCAAGAGGGTTCTGAAGCAAGACTCAGAAGACACGAGTTTTGGTTGTAGCAGCTCCTCTGTCCTGTCTTACATTTAAAAGGAGGAAATGGGAGTCATCTCCAGGGTCCTTTTCAATTCTGGGATCTCCGGGGCCCTAGGCGTTCCTGATAGGGTGGCCTGTGTATTAGTCCTCAGCCTGCAAGGGTTTGGGGCTGTGGCAGATAGTGTTCTGGAGCTCCTGTACTGAAAACTGGAGACTTTCTGTTTGAAACTACTCTAAACAGAAGGGGCCTCTGATAGTTCCAGGAAGGAAAACTCATAATCACCATATCAATCTTTTAATGGTACATTTTGAATAAAATAGAGGTTACATGATCTAATTTGGAGAGATATAAATCTTAAAATCAAAATATTAGTAATGTATGGTAAAGGTATACTCCAACGTTTATTTGATAATAATATTGTAGTTTTTAATAGGATCAACTAAGTGAATTTCTCTCATCAATTTTGTTGCATTGTTAGAATTACATGCATGATTTAGATGTGTACCTGTGTGCATAATTGAACCAAACCCAGAAATTACCAGCTTTTGAGTTCAAGGGGAAAAGAAGGCTAATGTAATATGTACTTAAAAAAAGAGTCTACAGTGATACTAGGGTGAATACTTACGTGTTGTAGTGAGAACATTTGTGACTTTGAAGTGGCTCTAAGATTACTTTGAGCTTGGGGAAATAAATGTAAGGTTGGCTAAGACACTGGAACCATGATAAATTCCTCCAGACTTCCACATCATTCTCCAGGAGTCCCTGGGACTTGAGAAGCCAGGTTAGCATTTTTGTTATCTTCATCTTTTAACAACTCTCTGCCAAGAGTATCCCAAATGTCAGGTGCAGTTCTCTGGAAGTCTACTACCAGCTGTTGAGGTAACAGATAAATGGGGATTCACTCAATGATTGGTGATAATGTGGTTTTGTATTTTTTTCTTGCAGTCAATTACAGTTAAAGAATCTTCATGAAGATTTGTCAGGTAGATTAGAGGAATCCTTATCAATCATCAATGAAAAAGTACCTTTTAACGATACAAGTAGGTATTATATATAGTTTTCCATTATTTGTAACTTTGAATCTCTCTGTGGTAGCCAACTAATTAATTTCTGATCTTTTGGGCAAAAAATTTAATTGGCCCAACAGAGGATTGCTTTCTTTTTGTTCATTTGATCAGCCATGGCAATCATATTTAACAAGAAGATTTTAAATTGTCATATAACTACTCCAAAGCCGGTCTGCTTGGAAGAAGCCCAAATCCACATTTTTTGATTGCATGTATTTAGCATTTCCCAAGGTAAAAAACAACCTGCACATAAAATAGTTGAATATTTGTACAAGAAAAATTGTTGATTGGGGTAGGGGAAATGAGGCTTGGCGGTGGGAGTTAAATCTTCTCAAAGTGATGTCTTACCCCTTGGTCAATTCCCAGCGATAGCTAGGAAGCTAACTTGGTTAAGCCTTGCTTCCTGTGCACCCTGGGAATGGTTTGGTAATTTACATTCCCAAGAACAGCAAAAAAGAAGTTAAAAAATACTACTTTACTTGTGTAATAGGTGCCAAATTTGCAGCCTTTAGGTAAGAAGTCAAAACCTCAAAAGCAAAGAAAATATTTGCTTGTTTGGATTTTGAAACTTACATTCAAATTGATGTACATTTCCTTTTTCTGTAATCACATGATTGAAATTAATATTTTACTTCCCCTAAATTTGTTTAGGGAAGACCTAAAAAAAGAGGAGAAAAAAAAAGAAAAACAGCAGGTCGATTTAGGATTAAAATCAGCCCATGTCATCATTATAGCAAAAATTTAAACTCCCCCTTGAAAATAACACCTGTTTCTAGCTTCTACATTAATGTAAATACTACTGGATTCACTGGATTTGAAACTGTGGCATTACATTTTCCCTTTAAGCCTTGTCTCAATCATTAGGTTCTAATAATTTCCTTCTGAATCATGGATTTATCCTTCCTTTTGTAATACTAGTTGTCACCCTGTTTTAGGTCCCTTTCATGTCACATGTGGATTATTACTTTTAGTCCTGAAATATTTAAAAATCATTTGCCGAGTGCCTAGACAAGTCCGTAGCTGGTGGTGTGGTGTGGGGAAGCCTTCCCAGAGAAAGGGTGCTTTGAGCTGGGCCTGGATGTGTGAGCAGGTTTTATTGGGCAGAGATAAGGGTAAAATCTAAGGAATTACTTGAAGTATGGTATATAGGACAAAAGGTGTCATCATGCCCTCAGGAGCAGTAATCCAGTATGACAGGAGGCTTAGGGTGGGTGGGATGTGCAGGGCAAGGACATGTTAAGTTCTGAAAGGTATGGTGGGACTGAACCCTCGTGTTCTGGTCTAAGGACTGGGAACTTAATTCATAAGGCCATGGGGTTGTTGGAGAAGTTTTTGAGCCAGGGAACATCATGTTGCTATATGCGTACTCACAAGGTTAATCTGGCAACAGAGTGTAGATTGCCTTGGAGTGGGACAAGGGAGTCAAAGATTATTGTGATGATAGTTCTGGTGTGCTATTATGGAGGCTTAGCCTGGGTTGTTAGGGAGACGTGGGAGATCTTGTGGAAGGAGAGGGAACAGATTGGTCCTTTCAAGGAGACACGGGAGAAGGAGGCAGTGATGGGGAAGATGGTGATGCAGTTGACTGAAAGAAAAGAGGTAGACAGGAACAGGTTTGTGGGAGAGACGAGGTTAACTTTGTTGTTGGTTTAATGTTCTGACAGATGGGTTCATATGTATCTATATAACTGTTGATGTATGCCTTTCTAAATGAAAGACTAGACTTCAGGAGAGAAACTGATGTCAACACTATTGGGCTGGAGAAGCCCTCATGTTGGGAGTGGTGGGTGCACAGTGCAGTCAGGCTTGTGTAGGGTCCTTGGTGAGTTCTCCATCCCAGTGATCAGGAGGCGGAGAGGAGCTGTGGAAACGGGGTGAGGTAGAAGCTGGAGAAGGGAGTTTCAGCAGTTTCAGCCTGATGGTGCAGGTCATTCTGCACATCGCTGTAGAGAGGTCAGAGGGTGATGCAGCAAGGCGACTGGGTTTGGTGACTGGATTTTGTGGCCTCGAGAGGACTAGTTTACTTTGCGAGGAGCGCTTCTATGCAGGGTGTAGGTTGACACTAGATTGCCAGGACAGGGAGTTGAGGTGAGTGGGTGCTGAGGAAACAGGCAGAGCAATGCTATTTTTTGAGCAGTGGGAATGAAGGAAATGGAGAAGCATGAGAGCCTGACAGGCAAAGTGAAAGAAAAGGCTGCGTGTGCTGGGGACAGGAGTCAGGGCAGAGAATTAAGTGTGATTAGTAATGGAAGAGACTCACTGTGGAGACAGAGTTAAGTGAGCTGCAGCAAATGCTTTATTTGTAATGAGGAGATACTGAAGATAGAAGCAGGGAGTGATTATGTCCTAAGGTCCTGAGGGGATCAGAAGCAGAAGGGCCCAGGAGGACGGTTAGCTGAGGAAAGGATATGCAAGCAGTAGACCAAGGTGGAGGGTGGGGAGTGTAAGAACTCTTTTGCTTTGGCTGTGATTTTTTTGGTAGAGTAGGGAGAGGCTGTCCTGTCCATTGGGTGGCAGGGAGTAGAGGAGGAATGATATTAGGAGCTTAAAACAGAAAAGGTTTGGGATAGATGTCATGGGAAATAAAATAGGCACACGGCAATGAAATTGTGGATTACTGAGTAGAGTTGAAGCCCCCTGGAGTTAAGCAGAGTAAGTTGTAGTGGACCTTACTTGGGATTTGTGTTAGCAAAAGCGTTGTTGAAATAATGGACCAGGCTGGGAAGCAAAACAAGCAAGACTGAAAGATGGCTGATAGAAGTGTCCTGAGGTGTTGGTGGACAGGAGACCAAGCTGGTAATGCATAGCCCAGTGAGTAGCAATGGAGACATAAGAGGGAACTGGGTGAGTATGCCACAGGAACATTCCGAATCATATTTTTGGCACTGGGGTCATTCTGACTGAGAACCTGGGCAGAGAAGGGCAGGTTTGAGTGGCTGAAGGGATGAGTAGAGATGAGGAAAGATGCAGCTCATTAAGGAGGAGGTTGAGGAGGTATGGCTAGGTGTGAGGAAGCTGCCAGAGGTTAGCGACAGACCAGGATAGAGAGGAAGACTGAGAAAGATAGTGATGCCATCCAGGAAAGTTAGGATTGAGTCATTGAGATCCACAGTGGCAGACAGTGATAGATTTTTCCGGTAGTGTAGTGTCAGGAAAACAGTGGTATTTTTTGCTGATTAGTGTGGTGGCTTTGTGGAGGGTTATTTTAGAAGGGAGAATGACTGAAAACAGCAAGAACATCATGAGCCTTTCTAAGTAGTCTTGATAAGCCCGAAAGCAGTGTTTGAAATTATTTCTTAGAAATGGAAACACCGGATTTGTTTGGGTTTTTTTAAGCCTGAAGTTAAAAAAAGATGGGAAGTATTACTTTATCTGAGAAACCACTGATTCTATGTAAATTCTGTTATTCTGTATTGTTCATTATTTTAAATTCTTATGCAAAGCTGATTTTGCTTCAGAGCATTCATTATATTGCATTTAAGCTATTTTCCGGTATATGTGAAATGAGAGCCTTAATGTACATTATTTTTCTTTTGTAGAATATAGTCAGTATAACGCTCTGAACGTTCCACTCCACAATAGGAGACACCAGGTAAAGAATGAAGTACATGTTTTTATTTTCAGTTATGTATACATCAAACTTTCCAGAAACAAGAATTAGTTGTTTGGACCTCTGTTTAGTGCATTCAGTCATTGCGTTTAACTGTTGCTTTACGTGTTTCTCGTACATTTATTCAAATGTAGCTTGCTTTTTATTACATTCATAAGTAACACAGATTTTTGCTCTCGTGTCTGATAACATTAGAAATAAGTTACGAGATGCATTAATGGTTTGAGCCATACTTTCTTGTAGGTTGGTAGACCTATATTATACTTAAGTGTTCTGGGTTAAGTACAGGAGGTGTATTTGCCAAACTGGTGGCTTTCTAATTTAGTTAGATAGGAATATTAAAATTCAAGTGGGAGCAGATGAATTTAAATTAAGGAATAATCACACTAGGATTCAAATGTTTTCTCCAGAAGAGACTCAATAAAGTTCTTTTAGGATAATAATTTGAGAGTTGGCCTTAACTGTGTATTTTTCATTTTAAAGCTGAAGATGCGAGATATTGCTGGGCAGGCCCTGGCTTTTGTTCAGGATCTTGTGACGGCTCTTCTAAACTTTCATACCTACACAGAACAGAGGATTCAGATTTTTCCTGTTGATTCTGCCATCGACACTATATCTCCATTGAATCAGAAGGTAAATTTAATTCAGAATACATTTCGTTTGCCCTGAAAAAAATAGGGAGATATTATTTGTTTTCGGACCTCTTCTGTGCACCATCCAAGAACTGCAAAGGACATGAAAAAAACCCAAAGTCATAGTTTTTACTCTCAAAATGAAATGTGGCAAAAATGGAGATTCTTAAGAAATTACATACTAGGGAAGTGTGTTAGTCTGTTTTCACACTGCTGATAAAGGCATACCAGCAACTGAGCAATTTACAAAAGAAAGAGGTTTATTAGACTTAACAGTTCCGCATGGCTGGGGAGGCCTCACAATCAAGGCAAGGAGGAGCAAGTCACATCTTTCGTGGATGGCGGCAGGCAAAAAGAGAGCTTGTGCAGGGAAACTCCCATTTTTAAAACCATCAGATCTCATGAGACCCATTCTCTATTGTGAGAACAGTGCAGGGAAGACCCACCGCCATGATTCAGTCGTCTCCCACTGGGTCCCTCCCATAGCGTGGGAACTATGGGAGCTAGAAGATGAGATTTGGGTAGGGACATAGAGACAAACCATATCAGGGAGGTTTTTTTTTCCTTTCTTTTTTTTTTTTTTTATTGAGGCAGAGTCTTGCTCTGTCACCCAGGCTGGGGTGCAGCAGTGTGATCTTGGTTCACTGCAGCCTCCGCCTTCTGAACTCAAGTGATCCTCCCACTTCAGCCTCCCAACTAGCTGGGACTACAGGCGTGCACCACCACACTGGCTAATTTTTATTTTCTTTTTTTCCCTATTTTTAGTAGAGCCAGGGTTTTGCCATGTTGGCCAGGCTGGTCTCAAACTCCTGACCTCAAGTGATCCGCCTGCCTCAGCCTCCCAGAGTGCTGGGATTGCAGGTGTAAGCCACTGTGCCTGGCCTTAGGGAAGTTTTTAAAAGGACCTCAGTGTGAGTAAGTGAGTGGTATGGCCAGTAAGTGGTATGAGATCACCAGGGAATGGAAGTCGCTGTAGGTGATTCTGTCTGGGAAAGATTCTTTGGGGATTTGAATGGGTCTTGAAAAATTATCAAGGTTTGAATAGGGGAGGGGAGAAGTGGGATACGCTTTTTCCCCCGGAAGAGAATGACATGAACGAAATCACGGAGCAGGAAAGCATAGGGAGTGTGGGTGTTGGGAACAGGGGAGGCATGCGGAGGGAATAATGAGCAAACTGTCTTGACTGGAATGTGAAGTCCTCGGAAAGGGAGGAATGAGAAGTAAGGTTGAAAGAGAAAAAATGGCTCCAGATTCTAAAAGGCCTCTAAGGGCAGGCCAAGACATAGACCTTTACTTTGTTTGTAGGATTGAGGCCTCTATAGCTTTTTGATCGGGGGTGACATAAAAGTGCCATTTTATTGTTGGAAAAATTAATTTGCTGGCATTTCTCTCCCCGATGTAGTGTAACTTTCATCATTGGGCATGTTTAGGAGTAAAACAACCTGTGTGGTATAGTTGACCTTTTTCCTTCCTGCTGAGTTATGGAGTGGGAGACAAATTGCTTATCCAGTTGAGCTTGGGGGGCATTTTCAGGGTTTGTGAAGTTCAGACAGGGTTTAAAAATGTCACTTCCTTCAGTCTATGTGCTTTTTTTGAGCCATTAGATTTTGCTTCTTTTTTCTCCCCTGCTAATTCTAAAAAACAATAAAAGGTAGCTTACAAAATTTCATTTAACTGAAAAGGATAAAATAAATGTTGTGAGTATATTAGCTATGTATTGCTATGTAATAAATTACCCCAAAACTTAGTAGTTTAAAACAACAAACATTTACTATCTCACAGTGGCTGCGGGTTAAGAATGGAGGAGCTAGCTAGCTGGCTCATGATCTCTCATGAGATTTCAGTCAGGATGTCACTGGAGCTGGGGGATTTGCATCCCAGGTGGCCCACTCACATGCCTGCTGAGTTAGTGCTAGTTGTTGGCTGGGAACCTCAGTTTCTTATTGCCTGGCTCTTTGAGTGTCCTCATAAATGGCAGCTAGCATTTCTCATAGCGAGCGATCTAAGAGCAAGGTGGAAGCCACAGTGCCTTTTATGACATAGCCTGGGTAGTCACACATCATCACTTCTCCAGTATCGTATTGGTCACACAGACCAGACCACCTTGAAACAATGTGAGACGGTAGTACACAAAACCAAAAATACCAGGAAGTGGGGACAATTGAGACCATCTTAGAAGCTGAGTCTCACAGGGTGGAAATTGAGGGAAATTGCTATACATGTGTGCTCTAAGTGCCTCATGATGTGGCAGTCTGAAATGTGAGTCATGCCGTTCGTCCTACATAACCTCATTCTTATTCCCTGCTTCTTTTGTGCATCATGCAGTATTTTCAGGGTTTGAATAGTGTTTATGTCTGTGGTTCCCAAGACTTGGACTTAGGAGTCAGACTTCCTGGGTTCCCAGTCCATTTCTGCCACTTTCTCAGTTATGTCCTCTTGGGAAATAAACTTACTCTCTCTGCACTTCAGTTTTCTCATCTTTAAAATGGGAGATAGAATACCTGCCTCACAGGTAAGCGTATTTGAGGATTCGATAAGATAATACATGTAAAACACTAAAAACAGTGCGTGGTGTGTAGTACTAGCACCCAATAAAGATTTGGTCTTAGGACCATCATCATTATGCTTTACACATAGGAAGCCATCAGTAGGTGCTTGGCTTTCATCAGTTTTGGTCTGACTCTACACATCTATTGAAGTTTGTAAAAATTAAACAGTGGGCCTTTGAAATGTTCTTTAATATCACTGTGGGAGAAAGCTTTCAGAAGACCTGGATAGGGAAGACAGTACTGCAACAGTTTAATGTGGTTATGCTTTCTTTTATACTGCCTGTAATATTAAAAAATATTTTCTGACCAGACACAGTAGCTCACACCTGTAATCCTAGTACTTTGGGTGGCTGAGGCGGGTGGATCGCTTGACCTCAGGAGTTCAAGACCAGCCTGGGCAACATGGTGAAACCCCATCTCTACAAAAAAATACAAAAATTACCCAGGTGTGATGACTTGTACCTATAGTCCCAGCTACTTGGTGGGCTGAGGTGGGAGGATCGCTTGAGCCCAGGAGGTAGAGGTTGCAGTGAGCCAAGATCGTGCCACTGCATTCCAACTTGGGCAACAGAGTGAGACCCTGTCTAAAGAAAGAAAAAATAATGTGTGTGTGTGTGTGTGTGTGTGTGTGTGTGTATGTAAAAGTCCATCTTCACGCTGCAGATAAAGACTTGAAAGACATACCCAAGACTGAGAAGAAAGAGATTTAATTGGACTTATAGTTCCACATGGCTGGGGAGGCCTCAGAATCATTGTGGGAGCAAAAGGCACTTCCTACGTGATGGCGGCAAGAGAAAAATGAAGAAGAAGCAAAAGCGGAAACCCCTGATAAACATGTCAGATCTTGTGAGACTTACTCACTATCGTGAGACTTACTCACTATCATGAGACTAGCCCAGGAAAGACTGGCCCCCATGATTCAGTTACCTCCCGCTGGATACCTCCCACAACATTAGGAATTCTGGGAGATACAACTGAAGTTGAGATTTGGGTGGGGACACAGCCTAACCGTATCAATATATTGAATAGTGTATACACACACACACACACACACACACACACACACACGCGCTAACCAGTGTTGGATAGTATATTCCATCCAATACTGGTTCTTTGTCCATTATTGGAATTTTATTGTAGCTTGTTGCCATGTTATACCCACATAGTGAGAATCAAATATATTAATCTTAATTTGTTTGAAACATTTCATTACTTTGAATAATTCATATATTTCTCAATACTTTACCTTTGGTGCTTTGACCTATAACATCCTATGTGATTTTTCTAATAAGTCTATATTATTGAAGGAGATTCAGAAACCATTTGTTAAAAGACAACTGGAGTGCTTAAACCTGTTCATAGCATCATAAAATAGACTTTTAGACTTGTAAGCTTAGAGTGCATTGTGTTATACAGCTCTAAAGATTGAAGCCCAGAGAGATTAAGTAAGTTACCCAGGGCCATGTATCTGTGTAGTTTGTAGTGGATGGGGTCAGTTGAATCACATTTCTGCAAAATGAGATCTTATATTTCTATACTGAGAAATTGAAATTTGAGCTATTATATAATATTAGATAATTGAGATATTTAATAAATGAAAATAATCTTTTTGCCTATAAATTTTCCAGATGCCTATAGGATTTTTTTCTGAAGCTATTCTTCATACTGAATTAGTCCCTTATAAATATTAAAGTTATCAGTGACAGTTATAAAAAGTTTTTAAGCTGGGCATGTTGGCTCACACTTGTAATCCCAGCACTTTGGGAGGCTGAGGTGGGTGGATCACCTGAGGTCAGGAGTTCAAGACCAGCCTGGCCAACATGGTAAAACCCCATCTCTACTAAAAATACAAAAATTAGCTGGGCGTAGTGGTGCGCATCTGTAGTCCCAGCTACTTGGGACGCTGAGGCAGGAGAATTGCTTGAGAACCCGGGAGGTGGAGGTTGCAGTGAGCCAAGATCCCACCACTGCACTCCAGCTTGGGGGACAGAGTAGGACTCTGTCTCAAAAAAAACAAAAGGTTTCTATATCCTCATTTTGATAATTACATCCTTGGAATTTGTTAACCCCAAATATTGTAGACATTTAAAATAAGCTGTCCTCAGTAGGCTTGTTTTTTAAAAATTGGGTATATAACACAAACATTTTTGTCATACAGTCTTGATTTTCAAGTCTTTTTTGTTTGTTTGTTTTTATACTGGGACCCCTATGGAGAAGCAGGTGTTCAGGGAAGCTGACCTGTTGGTCCTAGGTTCTAATGCAGTATTCCCTCCCTATTTCCTCTGATGCCTGGTTATTAATTGTGTCACCCCTCTTCTAGTTCCTCGATTTAGAATGGGATAGGGACTTGGGCGTATCATCTGGGACTATCAGAGGGGAGCATCTGTGTTTGGCTTTTAAGCCAGATTTCCAAAAAAAAGTTTCCAAAACTTGAGCACAGGAGTTTGAGGCTGCAGTGAGCCATTATCAGGTTTATAATTTAGGTTTATAATTTGGTGGATCCATTTAGAAATGTGTTGATGTTTGTTACTTTCCAGTGATTTAATTCACAATACTTTCCCTCCTGTTTAGTTCTCACAATACCTTCATGAAAATGCGTCCTATGTCCGCCCTCTTGAGGAAGGAATGCTTCATTTATTTGAAAGTATCACTGAGGATACTGTGACTGTCTTGGTAATTTTCTTCCTTGTTTTACTTCTGGGAACTGGGAGCTCCTCTTTGTCCAGTAGCACTTTTAACCTTGAAATTATTTTTCTTTT